AGAGAGAGAGAGAGAGAGAGAGAGAGAGAGAGAGAGAGAGAGAGACAGACAGACAGACAGACAGACAGACAGACAGACAGACAGAAGAGGGAGATTTAAAAATAAAATAACAAATTTTAAAAAAATAAACAAAAGGAGGGAGGCGGACACGTGTCACATTGTGAAACGTACAGAGTGTCTCCCGCTATGCAGGCAGTGTGCCCATCCCGCTCACAGGGTCCGCCGGGATCGGGATTGAAGGAAAACCACTCCTTCTTCCGAAAATCGTACGACAGCAATTCGTCCGTACATTTGTTCTCTCCCATATGCCCCCCAAACACATAACACGTGTCACCATACACCGCTGCCGCATGTCCAGCTCTGCCTCTTGGTACCCTACTCTTCCACGTCCCCGTCACTGGCCTCGGCGCCGCAGCCGCCATGGCGCTCGATCGTGAGCGCGGCATCTGCCTGTCTGACAAGTTTCACATCATGGGGTCAAGGCCGCGATCCCTCTATAAAGCTCCGACTTCCAAAACTCGCTACAGGAGTCCAGATCCCGTTGTCTACAGATATGGCGGGGGATGGTGCTTTGTCAAATCTAGAAGACCCCCCCCCCCCCCCTCTTCTGCTGCCCCCCACGTTGTTCCCACCGCCTGAATGACCGACAATCCCGCCCGCGTTTCCTCAGTTGGGCCAGGTCTGAGAGGTTGGACCATACGACACTGGTGGTCAAACTCCGCACCGAGACTTTCTTGTCTTGTCCTGATTCCTGATTTGGGTGGCCCGGGCTGCAGGCTTTGAGCTGTTGACTTGACCTTTTTGTTGTCTTGCCAAAAGGGTGACACCCTTCATATGCCATCTGCGGTCAGCGGCCTACCCACGTGGCATGCAGGAGGTCACGGGTCAATTCACATTTCCCTCACGTACCTACCGGGGCATACTTGGTGCCAAGTTGGCAGCCCGTAGGGGATGCGTTCATACACCCGAATCCGCAGCCCGAAGGGTTGGGTTTATACCCACGAGGCATTTGTTGATTTCTTTTTTGTTTCCCCGACGGCCTCGAGATATCATGACCGACTTCAAGTAACGAATTCAGAATTATGTCTGATAATTGGGGATTATAACTTGGGGCTCTATTTCAATTGACTTACCGTGAGGGCACGGGTGCGCAGCCCGTAGTTCGTTTGTTTATGTGGTTCGGGAAGGGTAAGGTATTGATTATGCTGTATGTATGTTTTGTCATGTTCGCTATACACAACTTGAAGAGTGTGTGTGTGTGGGGTGCCGGTTGGTGCTTTATTCACGATGTTCATGGGACGCTGGAC